TAAGGACAAAGTGGCTGAGCCAAAGCCAAAGGAAGGTGATGGAAACTTGGATTCAGCCCTTAGTTCTGTCATTCCCTTCCTGAACGTGAGGGAAACCTCAGCCGGTTCAACTGCGAGGCCCTGGGCAGGCAGGAGCTGTGGAAGAGGAGTCTGAGGCAGGGCTAGGGGCTCAAGAGACACCTGCAGCCAGGCCCCACATGGCCAGCCAGGGACACGCGAGTCCCTTAGTGTGGCTGGAAAGGGACACGTGGGTCCCTGAGCGTGGCTGGAAAGGGACATGCGAGTCCCTGAGCGTGTGGCCTTGCGTGACCTTCCTACCGCACCGGCTGCAGGGAGTGGGACACACGGAGCTGCTCAGGGAGCTTGTCCCTGAAAACAGCGCGCTTGAGTCTGACATTCCCGAAGTTCCCGAAGGTCCTGGAGCTGCGGCATGTCCTGGGCGCGGGTGCCTCGGCAGAGCCCCCCGAGGCCTCTGCAGACCGTCCCCGGGACGCGCTCTGAACCCCGCGTCACCTCAGAGGGAGCAGGCAGAGAGGTGCCCCCTTTGACTCATCAGCCAGTGACTCCATGTCATAGGTTGGAGCTTATTAATTATCAGTTAAAGATGTCCCTACTTTTCTTATAATAGAACCCTCATTCTTTACTACAGGAATCAAAGTGTTTAGCCTGGGTATTACTGCTTTAATTTCTTTCCATGTTGGTTTTCCAAGAACGTTCCTTTGGCACCAGAAATGATCTTTCATCTTTCCTAGAAAAGAGTGGAAGTGAAATCATCAAAGAGGGCTTGATAATTCACTAATTTATTAATTTTGCATTGGTCTGTTCCTTGTGTTATTTATCTTTTCTTTAATGTCCTCAGGTTAAAGAGGAAAAAAGGCTCTGATCCAGTTGTAGTTACTGCTTTTTGGCATACACTGCTTCAGAATCAGCATTAAATACGTGCATTTTTTAGGCTGTATATAACACTGCCACGTAATGGCAGAAGGGTTCAAGCAGTACAGGGCCTGGAAATACCAAGTGTGGAGGAAATGAACTGGCATGCTGTTTTAATTTTGCTTCTTTTTTTACTAAGCTTTATAATGCAACATAGCCACAAAATCTGCATACAGGTTAAGAGCAAAAGCAAAGACAATGATCTGCATAAAAAACATAAGAGCAGCTAATGTAGAGTCCTTCTGCAGAAAGGTGCTGCAGTGCATAGCGAGGAGGTCAGAAAGATGCTTCAGAGGAACCTCTCGGGTAAGAGCTTGGAGCATGTTGGGTGAGGATGGATCCTTGGCAGATTCCTCCTGAATCACCTGTCCTTTGGCATCATGCTCAAGTCCATCTTCTTCTCTCCTCACAGCCCAGCTGGCATCAAGAAAATACTCATTTTTCTTCTGATTTCTCCTTGAAAGAAAAAGAGAAGTCTCAAAGATATATTTTCTAATTGCAACACGCCACTATTTGTGTTTTAAACCACTCTCTCCTTGCAGTGGCTGGTGATATAAGCTTAGGGTGATTTCATTTTGCTAAGCAAAATTAAACATTGAGAGAATATCTTCTCTACAGGAAAGGTCAGTACAATTTATACAGATGTTGCCCAGCCAGAACAGGAACTGATGGAACAAACTCGGTGCAGACAACGAGGTCTGTAAATCCAAGGAAGTTCAGGCAGTCAGGCTGTGCTGAACTCGGTACCGTTTCGGTTAGGGTGCTGTTCATAGCTCAGCTAGCTGTTTCAAAGCTACGTCAGCTATGTCAGCATAAGCTGCTCAAGACCTTCACACCAGGTATTCTATTCAGGGCAGATCATCATTTCTCCCTTCTTTGGCTGTCTCCAGTAAAGGAAAACATCCGTGTGATTACAGTCATGCTGGATGGTGGGGAGACATACCCGGATTAAGCGCCAGAGCTTCGTTGGAGTATCTTGTCCTCCTCCCTCCCTTCCACTAAAATAAGCATGATGTGGTTTCACTCATTACATTCATCTCATTAGAGGCTTGAGGACCAAGAGAAGTGCAGCAGTAAAGAAATCCTTCATTGTGAAGAAGTCTGAAGTGTCTGCCCGTGGCAAGGCCCTGTGACAGCAGCCTTGGCTGCCCTTGGGCTTTGGGCAAGTAGGTGATGAAGTGGGGCAGGATCCGTTTTGAGGAGGGCATCTGCCCGGCCTGGGTGCTGCAGGGCTGCGCGTGCTCTGGAGCACCTCCTGTGAGCCGGGCTTGGATCCGCGTCATCTCTGGAAGGATTCTGGGCCATCCTCATGCCATGAAGCACCTCCTCCACCCGGGAATCTACTGCCTAGTCTTGGCTCTCTTGAAGCCAAAGGCAAAACTCACTGACTTCAGTGGGGGATCCAGTCCAGCGAGTTCAGTGGCAGCAGGATTTTTACCAACTGCAGATCTGGCTCTATTGTTTGACACTTGTTCTCAATCTGGTTTTATTTAAAAGCAAATTATAAAGAAGGCTGTAAAATAGCTCCATGAACCCCTGGAGCCCATGGATTTTGTGGGGTTTTGGCCACGGGCGACAAGACAGTAACATTTGCACATAGAGCTTGGTTTCTATATAGGACTAACCCTCCACACGGAGGCAGTTATCTGACTCTTTTGTTTATATCATTACCATGCAGTACAGCTGTTATCCATATTAAAGCATATTTTCTAACCTCCAATTCTTTCAAGAATAAAAACCCATCTTAATTAGTACAACTTGGCCAGGTTGTGTTTTGCATTTCTACAATATGTCCTGTTTTCATTTTTTTTTCTGGGCACATCATATACAAAGAAGAACTTCAATTTCAAATATATGTCCAACCCGTCTCCCTTTTAAGTTTATGAGCAGAAGTTATTTCAATTTGAGCAGGATGAGACTGATGGAACATAAAAAAGCCACATCATCAGCTTAAAATACAAGTCCAATAAAAACGAAGTTGGAACTTTACCAGCTGTGTACTGATGAAAGTATGTGAGATTTTAAGTGAGAGAAGCTGCTCAATATGGACTCACAAACAAAACCAAAAATGAGCCAACCCAAAAACCCAAAGGAGGAACTGAAAAAAAAAAAAACAGAGCAGAGGCAGCCCCAATGAAAGGTCATTTAAAAAGTAAAGGTAAGTGAATGTAATGTACTAATTCATCTACTCCGTTATCCAAAATAATCGCTCCCTTTCAATCCGTAACTTAAAAAAGGAGGAACTCGAATAGTAACAGCAAAGCCAGGCAAGCAGAGGCTGAGGCACTGTCCTATTCCATCCGCGCTGGGCTCCACACACGCTGCTCGTTGGCCCTGCGCGGTGCTTCTGTCCCCATCACTTGTGGCGTGGGGATGAGAGGCTGTCGTCGGCCCTGTCCTCGCAGGGGAGCCAGTCCAGGAAGAGTCCGTGGCCGCGGAGCCGCTTCCTTCCCGCTGCCCTGCCAGGTGGAAGGGAAACTGGTGAGACGGCAAGTGATGGGATAATGCAACAGCTGGGAAAATAGGGACATTATCTGAAAGGCATGAGCGGAATGGCATTTACCCTGGCTGGAAACAAATGGAAACAAATATAACTTTTTTTTTCTCATAAAAGCCACTCTTGATTATCTAATTATTTTAAATCTTCTTTATAGTATTTATAGTATTCCCAAATGCTTTCCGAGCTTATCTCTCCATTTGGCAGATACTGAACACAAGACGGTTTTGCCACAAATGGTTTCAGCACTAGTCCCAATCCCGCTAGCTTTCAGCAAGTAGCCCCCGTATTTTTTATTTTTCCTGTGAAATGGCTGCGCAGAGCAGCTCGAGGACCCGGCGGGGATCCCTGATCCCGGAGCGCCTCGCAGCGCTGCGGGCCGCGGCCATCCCGGCTTGCGACGGGCGCCCTCGACGCCGCCGAAACTCGAGCCCGAGTTGCCCGGGTCGGTCCGGGCTCTGCTCGCGGCCC